TTAATAAAATCCCGACGCCGATGCTGATGTTGATGCAGCGTTTTGTTTTTCCTTTTTTGAAAAATAAAATTAATTTAAACTGTGATAAAACTATGTTCTTTTTTTCAGTTTACATCACAAAGAAGTATAGGAACTTTAGCTAATTTATGTAATATCATTTTAATGAGTAAATTGATTTAAGTTCAGAATACTGTTTTTCACGTTAACTAAGTTAAATAAAAACGAAATTTTATAAAGTTGAATCAATTTGTTCCACTCTTTTTTATACCGAGACTGGGATTCTTCCACGTGTCGAGGTCACCAATCGTGAGGCACCGAGCGGAGTAGCGTGAATATGTTGGGAAAAGATAAAACGGCGTGGGTGACCCCCCCCTTTTATGAGAAAAAAATTAAAAAAAAAGTCTGCTGTTTCCTTACTGTACTAAAGATTTTGATGTCGGATCGCAAGATTTTCTTCCCTTTTATTTTATTTTTCCACCAAAGTCTTCTAATATCATGTGTATATTTTAATCTATCGAGGTTAAACTTTTTAAAAAATATTTTTTAAGTTTCCCTGCTCTTTTATTGCTTGAATGGAAATGACCGATTTGCCCTTCTATTTTAAGTAAACTTTTATTTATTCATTCATTTATTTTCCCTCCGACCACCAAGGAAATCGAACATTGTGGGCAGCTGAGTTTGGTCCCATGTTTAACGCTTAACCCTTGAAATATGGGGAAGAAGTTCAATGTATTTATATTTAAGCCACGGCTTAAACAACAATTAAGGAACAACCGATTGAATCTAATTTAATATAAAATTAAATATTTAAATGTTCAATATATTTTAATTTAAATGTAAGAGATCTACCTATTAAGAAAAACTTGGATATGAAGATGTTAATCCTTTTTCTTTTATAATGCCTATCGCTTTCTTGATAAGACATAACCTGAATGATAACCCAGTGTGGGAGCAAGTTGATTGCGGTGCCCTAATAATGCAACTTAACCCCCCCCCCCCCAAAAGAAAAAAACAAAGTTCCAACTTATATCCACCCAAAAAGCATGAAGGGCGCCATCCATCTCATGATTCTTACGTTGGAATGAGGAATTATTAATCTCGACTTCTCCTTTAGTTTCCAAGTCAATAACTCATTATCATATTCACTTCACTGTTAATTTTGACCTTAATTATTAAAGTGTAAAATAACTTAACACCCCCCACGATTATAATTATTAAAGTGTAAAATAACTTAACACCCCCACGATTATAATTATTAAAGTTTAAAATAACTTAACACCCCCCAATGGAAGAGAGTAATACGTCCATACAAAAAAAAAAGGAATTGCTAATTGGCCTTATAATTACTTAGAAATGGATGCTAAGTATGCCATTATACAAACTAGCTGATCATCACTCATTAGCATCTAAAATATTATTTAAAATTTATCTTTTGTTAACTTTTTTAAAGTTAAATTTTAAAATTTTGACAATAATTATTTTAAATATTTAAAAAATTAAATTTATAAAATATATATTTAAAAACTATTTGATGGAAGGTTTTTAAAATATATTTTTTATATTTTTATTAATAATAAACTTTAAATAATAACGATTTAAAGTTAAATAAATTTGATAAAAAAAAGTTAATAACTGATATATTTAACAGGATCAGTGAGATAATTTATCTTACTCTTTTTTTATTTTTTGCTAAGATAAGGTGATTATAAAGCAGTGTATGTTCTAAATACTCTCAATTATTTGATAATAAATGTTCAATCACCCTTGATGTAGTTGTTGGTGTTTAAACCCAAAACCTCTATAAATAAAATGTTAGAAACAAACCACTAATATAAAAGTTTAACAATGATCTAATCATGTCAAATTATCAAGAATATTTTACTAGATGCAGAAGAACACATAAATTAATTGATATGTTGAAATTCTTGAATCTTTATTTGGTTGTGATATTTCAAGAATATAGGGTTCTAGTATAAACTCTTTGACAGTGATAAGAGTAAATACGATATTATCTATTTATTGAGGATCATAACCTCTTTATATAACTTAATTAAGAATCAACTATTGTATGTACTTATGACTATGCCCTAATTAAATTATAAGTGCAACTTTAATAGTACCTACGCTTTTATTTTCATGACACTTTTAATACCTTATAACTTTATAACATAATTAGTCACTTAATTTATGACATATTTTGTGATAACAATATACATTATAAATATGTGACTATAATTATGGATTTTAATTCAATATAAAAACCATTTCTTTAGTCATTGAGATAATTTGATTAGTTCAACTTACCTATTTCTTTAATAAATGATACATTTGCTTTTCATGATTAAGAGGGCTTTACTTAATTATAATTGCTCTTGATTATTGCCATGGTGACATTGGCTTTTAGAGACATACAAACTCGCTTTATATATTATATATTAAAAACCTTCAAATAAACCGTATCTCAAATCTTATAGCTTTGCTAGCTAAAATTTTGTTAAAACACTGTATTATCCGTACTTTTCCCAGTGATTTTTTATTTTCATACATCAAAGTGTAGATTTATTCTAATTTATTTATTCTAATTCTAAATTTCAAATTTTATATTATAACATATGTGCTCTAAATTTAAAATCCCGAATAAAACAAGTGATGTTAAAATAGAGAGACAAATTATGTAAAATAAATTTTACACAATATCTATATATATATATTGCAATATTAATTTATCATTATATTCATATTTTTTTTATTTATTTGGGGTAAGTACAAGGTAATATATGTTGAAAGATAATTTTTAATCATTTGATATTGAACACTCACACCCCTGAAATTATTAGTGCTTAAATTCGAGATTTCAAAGAATAACAACAATTTATTTACAAATAAAATCATTTGTATGTGGGATTATATTCATACTTATATTTAATTGTGACATTAGAAGGTTAACATTACTAAAAAACTAAAGTTGTTAATTGCAAGGCATGTGTGGTTGCTTTTAACTTTTTCTAAGCGTGCTGCGTTTGTTGGAGATCCATAACCAAATGGTTCCATGCTCGCCCAATCCCCACCACCAATATTTAAAACCGAATGGCCCCTTAAACAAGTTTTAGTGCCATAAAACATGGACAGTTGTTTAAATTTATTTATTACATCATTATTATATATTTTTATATACATCGTATTGTTTTACAAATAACATTGTTGACTTAGGTAATGATAAATTTTAGAATTATAATAGTTATAAACCGTAAAACTTCTACTAATATGAGTGATATATTTATTAAAATAAATATTATTATTGTTTTTTATATAAAAAAAAATTCAAGTTTGAGTTTTTCAAACATTGGGTAATCAAAATTTTCGTATTGTGTAGCCAGCGTTGTAAGTACGTTTTGCGAGATGGAATCATCTTCGTCAACTCGTAACATCCATGTAAAATGGATGGTCCACTTGCAAGTCAATACATATGCATATATATAGTGAGACTCGTGTGATGGTGTGTTACACACACACTGCATTTATTTTTTACTTCGTGGGTAAGCTAATGTGCCATATGCACTTTTATTTTGTATCACAAATTATGGGAGAGAAGAAGCTTAGGAGAAATTCGGTTAAGTGGTCAATCCATAACAACCACCATCATGACACCTCTCCAGGCATTATTTGATAATTAATAGTTGATACTATTTCATTTCAAAAATAAAAGTGGTAAAATTTTAATATTATGGCAGTAATGATGAGATTAAGCTAATCTCCATTTGATGATGTTTGGATTTATCGCATAATGCATTCGAAATTTTACTTTTATAAAAATAATTCTTAATGGGAAATAAATCCCAAACTTTTGACATGTGTTGTCTAAGTGGAAAAATAGTTAATTATTGTGATGATAAATGGCTGTGATTTACTTTGGGATTACTTTAAATTTAATATACGATTGGACGAAAGTTTATATTTATCGATGAATAAATGTAGTGAGGATGCTCATAATAGTTTATTTTAATTGATTTAGTTTGTAAATCTGTGATGCTAATTGGTTGGATTTTTAATGAGTTTCACTAATATATCATCATCATCATTATTATAAGTATTAAGGACAAAACAATATTAGTTTTGGTTAGATTAAAAACAATATATCATGTATTATTAAAATACTTTTAATAGCCAATAATATTAACAAAGTAATATATGTTTTTTTTACTATTTACAACACACATACACCACAAACGCATTTATTTGAACTCAGAATTTTTAGAAAAAATAAATATTCTCTTCGATCCTTGAGGCCAATTGATAAGTTCAATATATCATATGTTAAGTGGGTGAGATAAAGTCAATGATAACTATATAATTACGGTAAAATTAAGTGTGAATAAGTATTGAATCTATGAGATTAAAATTAATTATTGATATTTGTTTGGATTTAACATAAACTGATAGTATTTTAAAAATAAAAATAATAATTAAGAATTATTATTTAAGGAATAAAAATGAGAAATAAAAATATTACTAAATAAAATCTCGAACAATTTAATTAAATCTATGTATATCTTATTTTAAAAAAGATATAATTTAATAAAATTCAGTATTATATCGTTATCTGAATATTAAAATTTTATGATTGTGAATTAAAAATTATTTTTTAAAAATGTACATAAAAAATTCAGTGGAATCTAAATAAAAAATGTACAGTAGAAATATATGAATCCCGTGGAATAATAATGTGTTGATATTTTTTTCATTTCCTCGGTATAAATTGGATCCGAAACCGGAACCGGTCATGGTAAGGCCACCCGAAGGGGCCCCGAACTCCCAACACCTACCGAACGGACCAAACCGTGCTTTCATCATTTCTTCACCAGTTATTGTCAAAGCTTTAATTAGGATTTTTAATTAATTAATATTATTTTTTTGGTGAAATGAGGACATTTTCGTCAATTTATTTCCCCTATTTAATCTGCTGGTGTATGTTAGGATCCGTGCATTCCATAAATTTTCGACTCTTTTGACTGTTACCCCCAAATATCTCTGTTCCAGGAAGACGAAAAAAACTTCTCCAGGCTTCAAAAATATCCCTTTCTCTTACTGCAGCTTAAGGATTGTAGGAGCAATTTTGTGATTCTTTTGATTGAGAGTTTTTGGGTTTCTTATCCTCTTTTCTTTCCTGTAAGTTGTCAGCTTCTTTGATCATTTTCTCTTCCACATTTGATTTTGTTATGTTCCTGTGTTGTTTTAGATTATTATCTTTAGTGTTAATCCCTCTTTGCAGGATTATAGGTTGGTTTTGCTGGGAGAGGAAGTAAACAGTGGCTATTTGCGGCGAAGAAGAAACAGCATGCGTTGGTGGTTGAGTCTTTCAGTCGACGTGTTTCGAAAAGTCATCTCCTTGAACTTGTATTGTAGAGTGATTCTGTAATTCCATAATACATCATCTTCAAGATCCACCTTTTGAAATTTAGTTAGTATTAGTATTCTATCCTCCATGGGATCCACTTTTTTCATCGTCGTTCCTTGTTATGTCCGCCAGATTAGCTGAAAATCTTTAAACACATTGCTCAAATTTCTAATCCAAGAATTATCATTAGTAGTAGCGGTAGTGGTGGTTGTTCAGTTTTTGTTGATCTAGAAACGGATCTTGGGGGGTTTTGAATACGTTTTCGTACCCGGAAGACCCTCTTTTTTTGGTATCACATCGAAGGGTTAGGACGTAGTTATGGTTTGCCAAGCAGCAAGTCAAACAAGATTCCGGGCATTGAAGTATGAAAATGGTATTGCGGGGAGTGCCACCATTGTAGTTAGAGTCATAGCATGCTTTCAACCTCTTCAAGATTGCCAGGTTTGTTATTTCTCCCTTATTTTTTTTTCAAGGATTTATGAAAGAATTAGATACCCTTTTGTTTTGTGATGTTTACATTTCATTGATTCATATTTGTTTTCTTTAACATATATTATTTACTGTACTTTCATTATATTGTGTTTTTGTTGATTGGTGAGAAAATTTATGTCTAGTCTTTATTGAATTTCCTTTCGTACCTTTTTTTTTCAGGCCGAATATTTCCGTCATTTGCTTAAGCCAGTTACGTAGGTTGCTTTTTTTCGTTTTCGCGTTCAAGTTAAGCTGGAATTTTTAGTTCTATTTTCCCCTTTGGTTTTGAGAGAAACTGCTTTTTAACTGCCATTTCCATTGCTTCAGCATTCGGTTTCTGGTATGTAGTGCTATTTCTACTTCTTGGTATTATCGAATATCTACTTGTTAGTCTTTTGAATAACCCTTTTCAGGTTCACTCTTTTGTTTTCCTGTAGGTGATTGTTCCCGTTCAATGGGAGAAGGCCGTGGATCCGGGTCTCCTCAGCTGCGATTTGATAGGCAATCACCCATCTTGAACTCTTTGCCTACTCCACTTCCTTTTGGGCTGCAAAGTACTAATCCTCCATTCATGAGCCTTCGCACTAATATGGTGTCCTCTGCTGGGACTTCGCCGGTTTATGTGAATCCGGAATTGCCTCTCTTACGGGTTAGCCAAGGTTATGAACCTCGTGGCTGGTTTTACTGTTTACCCCGATTTCGACAGGTGTTTGAACCTGCTTTAAACTCTTTTGTGAAAGAGCAACCCCTAGCTATTGCATATGAAAATTGCAACGAATGTGGTACTGGTATCCTCAAAGCAGGGCCTGGGGTTGCAGAGAAGAGATTCCTTGTTTTCGATCAGTCTGCTGATCAAACCACCCTGATTCTTAGCTCTGCATTTGAGACTCCTACCAAGTTCCTGACTTCTTGGGGTCCAAAATCTCCTGTTGCTTGTAACTTTAACGTGGAAGATCCCATAGCTAAAGTAAATGGGAATATTCATTCTGGACCAATATCTACAGTTATGGTTGATGAAAATGGGATTGATGTGCAAAGTGAAATGCACGAGGACACTGAAGAACTCAATGCATTGCTTTACTCAGACGACGATAGTGAATATACTGATGATGATGAAGTTACGAGCACGGGTCATTCTCCTAGTTCAATGACTGCTCATGATGAGCAATGTGAGGGAAGCTGTGAAGATGTTGCAAGCTCTACAAGGCTAACTAAGAGAATAAAGCTGCTTGATGATGATGGAAGTAACAGTTATTCACCGTTGCTGATGGGCACGGCTAATTCAGGGAATCCTAACAAAAATTCAGAATACGAGGATGATGCAGAATCCAGCTGTGCCAATGGCCAAAGTCCTAGATCAGTTGACATGGATTCTTCTTCAGGCAACAAGAGGATGAGAAAGGATAAAATCCGTGAGACGGTGAGGGTTTTGCGAAGCATAATTCCAAGTGGAGAGGGAAAAGATGTAGTTGTTGTTCTTGATGAAGCTATTGACTACTTGAAATCCTTGAAACGCAGCCTAAACCTTGAGACCTAGTACTCGGTGAACTGCAACTGTTCGTACAAGTAGTATCAGTGGTAGCTTCTGCCATTGTTAATGGAGCTCTATGAAATAAGTACAGACAATCAGTTTAAGTTGGGAAACCAGTAGAATTGGCTGAAGTCCGAGTCTATTTGCTACAGAAATCAGGAATACTGCTGTGTATATTATGGGCCAATAAAGTAAGGTAAATCATTAGTCATCATCTTGGGGATTAGAGAAAGTAAAACTCCCAGCTTGGATGTGTGAAAGGGAAGACTGGTTATTCTGGAGAGGGCCCTTTAAGCGCATGCTGATTAGGTGTTTTGGGTCAGTTTCTTCCTTTTTGTACTCTTGTCAAGTTTCATGCTTGTGGGTTCCTTTTTCCTTGATGCAGAAAATTGCACGAGCAAAGAGTCTTCCCCCATTTTCATCATATGCAATGCCACAATTTGAAAGGGGGCCCCATATCTCACCATCTGATGCATTCCTTGTTTTGCCATCATGGGGCCTTGTTGTTAAACTCGTGATCTTGTAGTGCTTTGAATTATATTATGATGTGAGCATCCATGGGTGTTGATGTAATTTTATATTTTCTTTAGTGTAATATTTTGTCTTTTTGCCAATGTATATTTTACCCCTCGTGCATGCATTTATATACGAGACAGCGATGTCTTTTGCCTCCTTACCTGAAATGGTGCAAATTGTTTTCGGTGATGGAACCACCAAAGCTGCTGGCAAGCACTATTTCCAGTCCTTTGCTCATTTCCACATGAAAACCGGACACTCGTGTAGGAAAAAGGTTGGGTAGATAAGGCTTCTAACATTAACCAGGGAAATAGACTGATTTGTATGGTAATCATCAAAGTTGTGTTTTGATTCATGATCGGCAATTATTTCTGACTTTAGCCTATTTATTTTCCTTTTATATTTCTATGGTAATTTTTTTTTGAAGATTTTATTAATATTTTTGTAATTTTAATTGTCTTTCATTTTAGAAATTATTATTCAACTAAGATTTATAATCAAATTAGAATCGTCTACAGTTGTCGTTAATTTTAATAATGTTTACAGTTTCAAAAATTATTCATGTGAAAAAATATTTAATCTGAAACACAGTTATAATCTTTTCCCCCTCTAAATTAGTCAAAGTTGAAAAAGAAAAGAGTAGTTTATTATTATTTTTTATTTTTGGTATGCTATTATCAAATTAAAAGAAATAATTATTAGAAAAGAAAGGAAGAAAACATGGTGGGTGCATGAAACTGGAGTTTCACCTAAATAGGGGCCCCCATTCATGTCACGTCAAATCATCACTTGTGCTTTCTCAAGTTTTCTTCGAATCTATTCTTCAACAAGCCGAAGGCTTTGAATCATGCTTTGATCAATTAAGTAATTAATTCTATAATTAAAAAAAAGAAAAAGAAATCAAAGCATTCTTCACTGAAAAAGAGAGGTTAAAACCCGACAATCATGGCGGGAGTTTACATGGGGCTTTCTATAGATTGGACCGTCCTTACTGGTCTACATTGCCCATTTTACTGACTCATCCTTTGTCTAAACAACGCTCCCCACCGCAACGCAATACGTTTGTTCTTATTTTGATTAATATGTTTCTTTTTCCCCTCCGAAAATACGAGAATCATTTCATTACACAGTACACAGAGTCTCAAACGCGAAGGAAGCAACGCAGTTGATCATTTGTTTGCTTTGATGTCTCAAGTCCCAAAGCGTTTTCGTAATTAAAACCAAAGAGAAATCAGTCTCAGCTTCTAAAATTTGATAGCAATTGTTTTCCGCATTTGGAATCGATTTTGATCATCGCCGATTACCAGCCTCGCTGCCGATCGAAGCTAGGGTTTCCCAATTTCTTTCCAGTTTTAAACTTTTCTTCACAAACAACTCGATGGAGGAGTGGCCGTTCCATGACGGCAACGTGCACAATCTACTCGATAACAGGCACATCGACATTGGTCACGTATTACCTCTCTTTCTTATCAACAATTTGGTGTTTCTGTTTGCAGTTCTGAGGATTTTAATTGGTGAAGTTCCCAAAACCAAAAGAAATTGATTAGGCCTTGCACTTAAAATTTCTGAGCTCTGCATGAGCAATATGCAGTAACAGACGTGGCGAATCCCCACACTGACTTCTACTCGTCATCATCTTATAATCCAATGTATAAGAGAAACTGAATTAGGATTCGATCAACATTTGTCTCAAGAGACATTCAACCATCTCCAATATCCGTTAATATTTTCAGTGAATCAACCATCTCAACTGTGCAATTTGAATATTTTCAATGTTCCCCAATTTACGCTTTAAGCCTTGAACATGGGGCTGGAAATAAATCAACTGGAATTGGCTGTGTCCAAATACTACCTGTCGGAACCGCCTTTTGGGTGGACCCGAAATTGGGCTTCGACTTAGGTTAAATGGATTGGAGTCGCCACTGATCATTTATTTTATAAAAAATAAGTTGATTGGATACCTTATTTCTTACCTGATCTGCGTCGTACCAAAGATATGTCAGATTTGGGAGTCGGTTACAGTCAAGGAAGGGTTACACTATTGAACTGTCCTTTCGGTGCTACGTAATTTCCAGTTGTCTTTAATTAAAAAAGTTGAAAGCTTAAATTAAAAGGTAAAATAACGATCCAAATTGCTTACATTTAACGGATTAAAAATGTGCCCTTAAGATGTTACAAAAAGTGTTAGATGATCAAAGTAACAGAAAATGAAAATAAAATAAACAAAATAAATAAAGATAAGTAATAAATAAATCATAAACCAGAAAAGAAAACCCACAAGAATGAAAAAATGAAAAAAATATTTAAATTAATTAAGAAGAAAAAAAACAATAGTAAAATAGGCTTTCATAACAAGTAAATATAAAAAAAAGAAGGTGGATTAAAGAATATGTACATAGTAAGATTTAATAAAATAAGGAAAAGAGAACAAATTAAGAAGTAAAAACAAATAAATATATACACATAAATAAACATTAGGAAAATAAAAAAAAAGAAAAGAAAATATATAATATAAATAGGTATAATAAAAGGAAAATAAAAAATAGAAATAATAAAAATAATAGTGATAAAAATGAAAAAGGAAACAAAAACCTATATATATATACATGTAATAACGTATTAATAAAATTAAAGAAGTAAGTAATAAAATAAAAAGAAAATGAGCAAATATGTATATAATAATAATAATAGTGACAGGATTAAAATGAAATAAATGAAAACTAGAGGCCAAATTTCGAATAAAAATCAAAATGGGAATTCAATTTAGGGTCGAAATGAACTCATAAAATCTGAGAATGACTAAAGGCGCAATTCACCCATTTTGAAGGCCAAAACACGTGGATCTAAGGCAGTTTGGGTTGGGTTATGGTTTGATCTGTGGGCTTACTATATAAGCCAAATATTTTTTTAGTTTCATTTATTCTCTTCTCTCGCCAAAAGCATCCCTCCCCTCTCATGTTTGCTCTCAACTGTTCTTCCTCACGAAGAACAGCCACTGCTATTTCCAGAATCCGATGGGGACGCCGTCTCGCCAGCCGCCGATCATCGGCGGTGAAACCATACAATTTTTTACTTTTCCAAAAGCCCTTCACCTCCTTGTTTCAAAAACCAAAATCATTTCTTTAAAAAGTAAGCCTCGGGGGCTAGATCTACGAATGAAGATCTCGAAAAATACCCCAGTTCCTTGGCCACTCGTTTTTTAAAATCGAAAGCAATGACGAAACATGCAAGCCGAAAATTACAAATGTATGAATTTTACCTTTTCTCCTTACTTTTACTTTTCGGAAAATCACGATTCTTGACTACGATTTGCTCGAAATTTTCTGCTTTTTATTTCGTGTCTCCAAATGTTACAAGATTGCTTACGTATTTGAGTATTTTTGTGTGTGTAAATGGTTTATGTCCCATTCGAATGGGTATTACACTTATTTATAGTCTACGAAAATGCTATTTTAACAGAGTCCTAATCAAACTAATTCTCTTGCTTTGGTTGTTGGTGATGAGCGTCGGACGGTTCGTGACTTGGTGGAGACGTACTGCCGTGAAACATGGGCATGGGGAATTGGAGTCTAGAAGCTTGGGGTTGCGGTGCGGCTGGAGTGAGAGTTTGCTAGGGTTTGGGAAAATAATCCCTAATCCGCGTCTTGTTCCCCTGTTGGGTCACATGTCCTTTGCAAAATGGGCTGCTGAACTCTATAATAATTGTGGGCCTATAACCAAAAACTAATATGTATAAGATATAACATGGTACATATATATTATATAGTATATATATACTATATGTTATAAATGATAGCACGTGTAAATGCCATATGCTCGGACAAAATATGTGTCGACAACTGCCCCTCTTTGCTCATTATCGTGTAACAAAAATAGAGCAAAGATTAAAAGACACAAATTTTGTTCATATCGAATGTCCTCCGGTGTGGAGTGGAAATACGACATTTGACTGGTTCGTCACTTTGAACTGCAATATGAAATGGCTCCCTTGTTGTGAGGTTGAGTTGAACTGGAAACTTCTGAGCACGATATGCTTCGTCGTGAAGTTGAAATCGAGCTCAAAGCTCTCGGCGAGTGGCCTCTGAATCGACTTCTGGATCAAGATACTTCGTCGTGAAGGTGAGACTTGTTTTAAAGACTTTGGTGTGGCTGTGTTGCGGATGACTCCTTCGTCGTGAAGTTGGGTCAATTTGTTGGGGTACGATGCCCTTCGTAGTGAAGTTGGAATCGTACATGCTTTGCTGCAAATGATGTGCCCTCGAAGCTGAATGTAATCAAACTCAAAGGTCTTTGGTTGGCAGATAGTTTTTCTCAACTTAAGCTATGCTGCAAATGACGTGCCCTTGATTTGAATGACATGATTCAGATGATGCTTCAAGAGAAGTTATCTCAAAAGAGACATAATTCGTTTCAAGGGAAACGATCTCAAAGATATTTGTTGGTTCATGAGAAACAGTCTCAAGGTAAACAAAATTTTGTTTTAAGGGAAATAAATTCAAAGATTTTGTGTTTCAAGAGAAACTGTCTCAAGAGAGACAAAATTTTTAAGAGAAAATGTCTCAAGAGAGACAAAATTTGTTTTAAAAGAAACCGTCTCAAGGAAGACGAAATTTGTTTCAAGGAAAACAGATTCAAAGATTTTGTTTCAAGGGAAACTGTCTCAAGAGAGAGAAATTTTTTAAAGAGAAAATGTCTTAAGAGAGACAAAATTTGTTTTAAAAGAAACTGTTTTAAGGGAGATGAAATTTGTTTCAAGGAAAACAAATTCAAAGATTTTGTTTCAAGGGAAGCTGTCTCAAGGGAGACAAAATTTGTTTCAAGGAAAACAGATTCAAAGATTTTTTTTCAAGAGAAACCGTCTCAAGAGAGACAAAATTTGTTTTAAGAGAAAATGTCTCAAGAGTGACAAAATTTGTTTGAAGGAAAATAGATTCAAAGATTTTGTTTCAAGGG